TGGCTTTGAAATGTATCTGACAATTAATTAGATTGAAGATCATATGCTGGAAGAAATAGATATGTTGGTGTTGCAATATAGGAAACATGATTGAAAAAAATAGTTTTACTGCTTACTGGCCTTGTGGCCATGTTACAGAGCTGTGCTATTCTCACACAGTAAATTAGATTTGAATTTGCTGTTGAATGTTAGTACAGGGTATATTACATAGACACGTGGCTGCAGTAGAGTAGAAACTGGAGGACAGCACTCTCATTGTCACCGCTGGCTAGAGATGTTCAGGCGGAAATCATTTTACAGTTACGGAACTAGAAACAACACAAATAATGGAATTAAACCATTGATTTTTGAGAATTTTACAAATACAGATGGCAAACATATGATAACTGTTAACAGTAACAGTTACACTGGTTTTGAAATATTGATTCTGCCATAAATATGACAGTATTGTTTGCTTTTGAAATTTTGAATTACTGAACATGTATGTTATCTCCATAGTTTTTATTTCAAAATTAATGACAGCTTCATAGATCACAGATCCAATGTGTGTCTGGTTTAGCTAGTTTACTTCACAGATCCAATGTGTGTCTGGTTTAGCTAGTTTACTTCACAGATCCAGTGTGTGTCTGGTTTAGCTAGGTTACTTCACAGATCCAGTGTGTGTCTGGTTTAGCTAGGTTACTTTACAGATCTAGAATGTGTGTCTGATTTAACTAGGTTACTTTACAGATCTAAAATGTGTGTCTGGTTTAGCTAGTTTTCTTTACAGATCTAGAATGTGTGTCTGGTTTAGTTAGTTTACTTCACAGATCTAGAACGTGTGTCTGGTTTAGCTAGGATACTTTACAGATCTAGAATGTGTGTCTGGTTCAGCTAGTTTTCTTTACAGATCTAGAATGTGTGTCTGGTTTAGTTAGTTTACTTCACAGATCTAGAATGGGTATCTGGTTTAGCTAGTTTACTTTACAGATCTAGAATGTGTGTCTGGTTTAGCTAGTTTACTTCACAGATCTAGAATGTGTGTCTGGTTTAGCTAGTTCACTTCACAGATCTAGAATGTGTGTCTGGTTTAACTAGTTTTCTTAACAGATCTAGAATTTGTGTCTGGTTTAACTAGTTTTCTTAACAGATCTAGAATGGGTATCTGGTTTAGCTAGTTTACTTCACAGATCTAGAATGTGTGTCTGGTTTAGCTAGGTTACTTTACAGATCTAGAATGTGTGTCTGGTTTAGCTAGTTTTCTTTACAGATCTAGCATGTGTGTCTGGTTTAGTTAGTTTACTTCACAGATCTAGAATGTGTGTCTGGTTCAGCTAGTTTTCTTTACAGATCTAGAATGTGTGTCTGGTTTAGTTAGTTTACTTCACAGATCTAGAATGGGTATCTGGTTTAGCTAGTTTACTTTACAGATCTAGAATGTGTGTCTGGTTTAAATAGTTTACTTTACAGATCTAGAATGTGTGTCTGGTTTAGCTAGTTTACTTCACAGATCTAGAATGTGTGTCTGGTTTAGCTAGTT